TCCAAATTGGAGCATGGCACGACAAGATTCACTGCAAGATGGGGTTGGGTGGTTGGCTGACTACACAACGGAGCCGCGGGCGAAGTTAATTGGACCGAGGTGCCTCCATTGACCCGAATTGAAAGCGTGGGTCCGACGACCATGGCGACAGAGGAACAGGGGACAGGCGGCATGGCTTGGCCCGTCGCTGCCGTGGCGTGACGCGGCTGTCAATCGGTGCACAAACGCGCATGTGCTACAAGCCGCTGGGGAAATAGCCAAACACGCTCAGGACGGTCGGCCGCAGGGCCATAAATCGCAAAACGATGACGGCGGCTCGGCCCTGTGCGCTGCAGTGGCTGGCGCCGATCAGCGCAACGTCACATCGAAGCGGATGTGATGGCAATGCAGGCGGGGCAAGCCCACGCGCGGCAAGGCGACGTAAAGCGGGGCTGTGCCGCCGCAGCAGAAGTTGGTGATGGCCACGCTACAAGACGGGCACCGCCGACAGCGAAGCGCGAGGTGGTAGAGCGGCCAGGCGGACGCGACGGCGGTGGCAGAGCGCACGCGGGCGACTTCGCACAAGCGGCCACGGCTAGCAGCAGCGCGGTGACGCGATGCACGGAGTCGATGACGACGGCGCGGCGGCGGCGGGGACTAGCCAGGCAAGCAGCGAGCTGCGGCGCGACGGCGGTGGTGGCGGCGCCGGTCGCCGGCACGCAAGCGCGGCGCGCGCGTGGCGAGCGCGCGATGGTGGTGCGGCCGCGGCGGCGGCAGCGCGGTGCATCGCTATATGAAGCGGCGATGCGCCGCCAAGTCACGCGATCGCGCAGCGACGCCGCTAACGCTCGAACGCGTGTCTTGCACGCTTTTTAAAGCGTCCCAAAAATCCATCTCAATGCTTCAATTGCTAAACCAACTATTTAACAATTGAGATGGTATGTCAAGCTACTAGAACACACACTAAGACCATACCACTACTTAGCTTCGTTGAACAATTTTCTAACTTAAGAAATGTGACTACGTCTTGATCGGTTTCGCGTCGAATGCGATTTCCAAGCTATTAAGTAAGCTAGCTAGTGAATCCCGTTCCCGACCGCACGTATTTCATCGTCACCTATGAATCTTACACTACAAACGTTATTAAAGTTCCGTATATGCATTCTATAATATTTTTGTTCAATAAAAATTCATTTGAAACCCTAAGTGATAAAATGCGACATGGAATGTAACTTTCGTTTTGCGTTTCCGATGAACGTTTCAAGTTACGTATATTGCTTTACACTCTATATTACACACATTTACACATAAGTATGATGCTCATGTAGTGTTTTAGCAAAAGACTGTGCAGTGTAACACCGAGGGTGTTACAATATCCCTTGGTGTATGTTGTTCGCTGATGATGTAGTGTTAGTGGACGAAAGCCAGGCGGGAGTAAATAGGAAACTAGAGTTATGACGGTAAACCCTTGAGTCTAAATGTTTTAAATTGAGTAGAACTAAAACCGAATACATGAGATGCGACTTTGGTGGAGTTGTATAAGAGGAGGGAGATGTGAGTTTGAAAGGTCAAGTAGTGCCTAAGAAGGATAACTTTCGGTATTTGGAATCGATGCTACAGAGGGATGGAGATATTGATGCGGACGTTAGCCATAGAATCAAAGCAGGGTGGATCTGGCATTCTCTGCGACAAGAGGGTACCACAAAAGTTAAAAGGCAAGTTCTATAGAACGGCGATTAGACCGGCTATGTTGTATGGAGCATAATGTTGGCCTACAAAGATTCGACATGTTCAACAACTGAGTGTTGCAGAAATGCGTATATTGCGATGGATTTGCGGTCATACAAGAATGGACCGAGTTCGGAACGATGATATACGTGATCGCCTAGAGATAGCACCAATTGAAGAAAAGCTTGTTCAACGTCGGTTGAGGTGGTTTGACCATGTCCAAAGGAGACCTCCAGAGGCACCAGTGTATTGTGGAGTCCTAAGCCAAGTTAATAATATGAGAAGAGGTAGAGGAAGACCGAAATTGACATGGATGAGGCAATAAAAAAATATTTGAAAGCTTGGGATATACCTAGAGATCTATGTTTGAATATAAGTATTTGGAAAGCAGCTATTGAAGTGCCTGAACTGTGACTTGGGGCTCTTGGTTGATTTCAACTCTAGCCTATCTAACTTACTTGGGACTGAAAGACTATGTTGTTGTTGTTATTGTTGTTGTAGCAATTTGCCATGATAACACCTTCACTGCAGGTGTTCCTTCAAAGCAATTCGTTTGCGAAATTCACGCCAAGGGCCGTTGCTAGGATTATGCATGGCATATCAAGCCCGGCTTTTCCATCTGCCACCTGGTCCAAGAACCACTTCTGGTCTCTCCTCTCCTCTCTCCATCTCATATCTATCTTTTCCTTCCCACCAATTTATGTATCTCACCGACTGAAATTTTGGTTGGCAGGGGGCGCTATGTGGAGGTTGATTTCCCAGTGGTCATGGAAGCTGCCAAAGCCGAACTAGTCAAATTCGTGGGAAAAGGAGAGTAGCATTGTAGTACTCATCGGCACGGTAATAGGAACAGTTGCCTTCACTAGTTCACTGGGTGCGTGTGCTGTACCGAGTAGAACGTTTGCTGGCTGCAACCAAATGATAGAGAGCTACCACAGGTTCGTGCCTTCTTCCCAGCTAGTCCGCAGTTGGTACACAGGCATTCTAAATGCTTATGCATCATGCCATGAACCGCTATCGTTGTTTGCCAGCAGGCTTGGACCTCCTGAAATGAAGCATCAGCCAGGTCTGGTCTGATTGTCTGAATGTGTGCTGGGCAGCAATATTTATTCAAGCAATGCTGATGCTGCCAAATGTCAACCAAGCTGGCTGCTGGCTAGACTTCTGCCGTGTGTGGTAAAAGGTTTAGTAGGGAGCCGCGTGAAGAAAAGGGGGAAAACGATGGTAGGTGTGTCCAGGAAGCAATGATGCAGAGCCATCACCCATCACTGTAAATCAAAGGCAGCGATTGATGAGGTGGTATATGCTTGATTGTGAAAATGTTGTTCACCACGGCTGGAGATTATAAGCTGTGTGCGATCAAGAGTTCCAGAGCCATCGTTCATCCATCACTGCCCTCGGTACTTGGGGTTGCTTTACGCGGCCACGATCAATGCTTGGCCATTTCAGGGCCCAGGGCAAGTTTCGTGCCACATGCCATCGATCGCAATTCTTCACTGAGGGAACTACTCGTGAGCTATTAAAAAAAATTATAATTCTCTGTGAGTCATAAAAAAATTCAGTCAACTTCAGTGTCACTGTTTTAATTTTTTTTTTGTCCTCCATACCATTGCCGTTAGATTGAGTTGTAACGGTGTCAAACTGAAAGTGTGAAAAGTTAAAAATATCCTTAGGTCTAAATATGTCATTAATTTTTTTAGTATCTTAATGACTTTAAATGGAAAAACTCAAAACTAGAAAGCTACAGATCTCGTCGAGGTCTATAATTTTCATATAAAAATTATCTTCATTTAATACCGTAAAAAAGATATGATTTTTCTAAGATATATTAATCATATCAAATCGTATCTTTTTTGTGGAATTAAATGAAAATAATTTTTATATGAAAATTATAGATCTCGATTAGATCTATAACTTTCTAGTTTTGAGTTTTTCGTTTAAAGTCATTAAGATGCTAAAAAAAAATTAATGACATATTTAAATCTAAGAGTATTTTTGACTTTTCACACCTACGGCTTAACATCGTTAGAGCTACTCTGACCACAGTGATATAGAGGGCGAAAAAAAATAGAACAGTAAATCTGAAGTCCGCCGAAATTATAATGGCTCACAAGGAATTCGGTCTTCTTCGTTTCGTTGCAAGACACCCGGTCCAAAGCGGCTGGTGGGTCTTGCAGTTCCTGTTCGCTAGATCTGGTCCGGAATTGATTGCATGCCGAAGAGGCGAACACTCTGCATCTTTCGATCGGTCGCGTGGCACGGCTGTGGACCTGCGTCTGTCTATCTGGATGGATGAGATTAGACGCAGCAAGGCGGCCGCTTACCATGTGCATGCCCATAATTTGTCCGGCGTCTGGCTTCACGGACCAATAATTTGTCCGGCGTCTGGCTTCACGAATGGGATGATATCATTTGTGATCTGGTGGAACGATCAGATGCACATCCAAATCGTTTTGTTGTTCATGGTGCCTGAACACATATGTTTGGCTGGTTAGAAAAACAGTTAATGCTGATGCTGATACTGATTTGTTATGAGAAAAAAAATTATTATTTTATTAAAATAATACGGTTGATAAATTCAAACGAAACAGGATCACAGTAGTGAGCAGGAAAAGCAGGTTAACAGCATATTCTTCAAGCCAAATCTAGCGACAGGAGCATATCCACGACCACGGAGGCACTGGGCACGGACCAGGCTTACGGAGTTATCACGGTGACGCTTATACTTGTTGTGTACGTGTACACCTACCCAACTCGAAGGAATCAAGAAAATAGGCCCCAGAAGAACACAAAAACATTTACGTGCGCGGATCTGAGAAAGGTTTCTTAGAGCTTCGCTTGGCAACAATCCGAGTAATCGACGGTTGGTACCTACGTTTGCGTGGACGATCTTCATCCATGGCGTACTACAAAGGATATTGCTACAAGGCTGGACAGTCGTAGCTCGTACCGTCGTACACGGTACGTGTATTTACAAGAGAGAGAAATAAAAGGGGAAGAAGATTTTCCTTTTAGGGGATGAAATTAGAAAAAGGCCGAAGAATGCGTAGGGAAGGCACAAGAAGAACCTACGAGGCTACGAGCTCCACGCAGATAGATACGAAGCCAAAAGCGCCGACGAAAGAATAAACAGCGAGGCGCTCGTCAAATAATCGTTAAACCCAGAAGCTTCCTCGTCCTGTCTCCCTCTCCCTCCCTCGCGGTTGCTTCCTCGCGGCGGATTCGCATCTTCCGGGGCAGGGAGGGTACTCCTCCTGCCGGAGGGAGGAGAAGAGGGCGAGAGGAGCTTCGAGATGGGGGCGGCCGCCGCCGCAGCGGGCTTGGTGAACTACCCGCTTGTCGCGGCGCTCCTCGCGTTCGCCGTCGCGCAGTCCTCCAAGTTCTTCACCACCTGGTGAGTCAACCCGCCAGTTGTACACCCTCCGCCCCGTCCCCCGCTCATGCCTCCGCCCCGCCGCTGCCTTTCTGTGCGGTGATTTGGATCCTCCGGTGGGCGCGTCGCTGTTGCTTATGCTTTCGGTGCTCCCGTGCGAGCAATTCTTAGCCCAAGGGAATTTTATGAAATTTTCGTGGTTGTGCGGTTCATAGATTGTCGGCCAAGTACATAGATGTTTCATGGTTGCCTGTGTCTAGTGATTTTATAGGTAATTTTTTGTTCGGTTGCTCGGTTTGCACGCTACACCGCAGATCCTATGATAGCTGTAGTTCCTTGCCCGCGCCGCACCCCCCCCCCATATGCAATCATGAAGTATGAATAGGATATTTTGTATATGAGAGGTAACAGAAACACCAAATGCATGTGGTGTGGGAGTTGGACGGCCATTTTATTGCCCCCAATAGAAAATTTTGCGATCCTTTTTCTTTCTTTTGATGTTTTGTACTGAGAAGTAGTGGAGACACCACTTGGGAGCACATTATTATTTTTTTGGTTTTTGCTGTTAGCACTTAGAGCATGTTAGTGTTGTGCAAATCACGTATGGAGCACTTTGGAATCCAGAATTCTGCTCACCATTCAGGGCTCTACTGCCCAAAACCTGTATTCTGATTCTATTGTGAATGCTAAACCAAGTATCCCAGTATGTTCAATGGGAGCAGATTGGATTTTTTGTGTTTGGTTGCATACTGTTTATGTTGGTTATAAGGGCACAATGGCTGTAAGTATGGTAAGCAATCCAAATTACTCTGGTTCTTCCTTGATAGTATTGGAAGATTATCTCACCAGATTATTAGTTATCTGGCTTTCCTGGTAATCTGAGAACATATTTGTGCTAGCCAAATTAGGTATGAAGTGCATTGGAACAACAGTTATTCTGGTTCTATTTGGAATGCTAAAACAAATATCCCAGCTTGTTCAGTGTTGCACTAGCTTGGTTATGTCAATTTGCTTGTGTTTTTCACACACTGTTTATGTTAGTTACAACCAACAGTTGTAGGTATATATGGTAACTAATCTAAACAACTTTTGTTCTTCCTTGATAACATTGGAAGATTAGGTCAACATAGATGGTAACTTTGCTATCTGGTTTTGGTGCATGAAAATAGGCCCTGCCATTGCCATTGGAGTTAATTGTCTCACTGTTTTTAGCTGCACAGTACCATAAGGATATGTTTTTTACAAGTCCGATATTGTTGACAAAACTGGTTGCTTGGTGACTGTTTGATGACGCAATCATGCAAACACCTAATTGGCATCAGGGCAAAAATTTTGGGAGCACTATGTAACTGGAATTTGGTCTCATATACCTTGGTGTCATTATCTCAGCTAGTTTGTTAAGAATAGATTTTCTCTGCTGTAATTACATGACCATAATCCATTTGGAGAAAAAGGAGTGAAGAAACTCACAAACATCAATAAATTAATTATATGTATTTTAAATGACATATTTAAATCCTTATGTATCGTGTAAGGGAATCCATCTTAGCATAAGAATGGTAGTGATGCCTAAATCAAACCAAATTCAGATATGATAGATTTTTGGTCCATATCACCTTAGTGTATACTCTGATGATGGCTGTCTATTTCTGTTTATATATTTGTTTCAAATGTTTTCCTGACTCTTATCCTCACAATGCTTTGGTGTAGGTACAAAGATGGTCGGTGGGATGCCAGACAGTTTATAGCTTCTGGAGGGATGCCATCATCCCACTCAGCTACAGTGACAGCACTTGCAGTGGCTGTGGGAATCCAAGAAGGCTTTTGGAGTGCAACATTTGCAACTGCACTAGTCTTTGCATGTGTGGTGCGAACATTATTGAAGTTATTTATTCATTTTTTTAATTGTTTGTCTAGTTGTACAAAATACTGGACTAGTTTGTGCTAATTTGTTAGCTTGATTTAGCTCTTCTGCATTTAGGTACTTTGCATGTCTTTTCATATTGAACTACTGCTTGAACTGCATTTTGATAACAGTACTCAGGGTTGATCTACTTCTTGCAGTGAGTCAAGGATGTGGATATCTTGCTTTCTTATGAATGCAGCCTTTGATTTGACTTAGTTTTTACTTTTGTTTGCAGGTTATGCATGATGCTTTTGGAGTTCGGTTACATGCCGGAAAGCAGGCAGAGGTTTGCCACCATCACCCTAATACTCATATATGGCCTTGTGTTTAAAGAGAACACAACATTTTCTGCAAAATTGCTATTTGGCTTTAGTTACATTGATAAGTTTTCTGCTATTGGCATAAAAATTTGTATATTTTCCTGGATGATATCTGCCATTTTCATGAGGAACATAATAAATAAGTCATTGAAGAGTATCCTTATCTGAGATGTTCTGTTGTCAAAACACTTCACTTTTATGCGTGCAAAATTGAATGAAAATTGTACTTTTGAAATTCTTCATTGACATCCAAATGTGATTAGCATGAAGTAACGTTTTCTTATGAAATGATACTTCTGTCCTGTTTACATGCGCTGTCACCAGTTCATGTCAAATTTATTTGGTTAAAATTTTGAAGATATAATATCTCATTTTAAATGATATTTTCAAATTCCTGTAACAAGGCAAGATGGATGCTTGTGCTGTTTATGCAAATCCTTTCAGGTGCTGAATCAAATTGTCTATGAGCTGCCAGAGGAACACCCATTATCAGTGACAAAGCCACTGCGTGAAATCCTTGGACATACTGTTCCTCAGGTTGAGTTAAATGCTTCATATTTACCTCCCTTGATGTTTTAACTATTCTGTGGCCTTACCGGTTAGGAAAGACAATCCATACTCAATGAAGATAGAGTCCATTCTTTTTCAGGGCATTGTATAATGAACTTGTTCAATGTCACTCAAACAATGGATATATGAGATGCTAGATGCACTTTGGTAACTATAGGCTACAGCATTCCTAACCTGTGGTCGACAATCAGTTTCAGCGTGTAAAAACCTCACCATCCTGAAAATTGCTTAAAATGCAAATGAACTTAAGAACATTTTCACATGTGCAGATAACAAGATGTGCCTATTTCCTTTATCCTATATACCATCGTTGTTACCTCTGATGATTGAACTTCTCTTCTAATAGTCTGACACAGCAGTTTGACAGCAGACACAATCAGATAGTACATGCAACATTCTAGGTGTAATATATTCTTTCTTTGGACATGTCAGGTTGTGGCCGGTTGCATCCTTGGAATCCTCATGGCTGTCGTTATGCATTTTGCTCTCGGGAGGTCTTAGTCAAATGTTGTTCCTGGATGTCGTGACAGATGATCACCTAATATCTCGCTGGTGATGGCTATAAAGCATGAAAACATGATCTCCCCATGAATCTGGTTGCCCAAGTGTTTGATAGTGACAAAGTTCTAACCGAATTTAGATCTGGACTGTAGGATACAGGTTGTAGCTCGAGTTGGTTGCTGTATATCTGAAAAGGTTACTTACTTTCAATTCCAACCACGGTGAAATGGAAGCTTTGTTATACAATAAGTAGCAGTAAGATCATTTTGCGGTAGTGATCAGTATGGTCAGATCCCATGCCACCACATTTGCTTTATATTCCCTCTATTTCAAATTGTAAGTTATTCGGGCTTTTCTAGACAAGTTGTTTTTGCTACGTATCTAAATATACATTATGTCTAGGTATATAATTAAAGCTATGTATTTAGAAAAGGCAGCACGGCTTACAATTTATTGTAATTCAAAAAAAAAAAAGGCTTACAATATGTATTTAGAAAAGACAGAACATGGAACGGAGGGAGTACTTTTTAGTTTCTTTAGTGCGGTTCATTGATATCTCAAGCTGCGGGATGATGCCATTGTTCGTTTTGTTTCTACAGTGATTCATGATAGCTCCAGATTCTAGACAAACCTTGTATGAATTGACAAGGTGTATATTGGAGTTCATTTACTCTGTTTTGATCAGGAATTCTTTGGCAAGAAATTTTAATTAAACATCTTGACAAACCACGTTAAACAAGTTTGGTCCTCGCTCCCCAATAGTGTATATAATTTGATGCAGTAATATATTTGTTTTCTCTATTTATGATGATATGCCACAGGCGTCTGTCCGTGACTCCCGTCCGGACACGGCTCTCAGACATGCCTAGGATCGGCTCCGTCTCTCAAAGGGTCTGTTCGCTGGTTGGGGCTGATGCTGGTTTGGGCCGCTGGTGCTGGTTTTTTGTGAGAGGAAAACACTGTTGGCTGGTTGGTTTGGGCTGGTTGAAACCAACAAGCGAACAGGCTGAAAAAAAAATCCCCACTCCGCTCATCCGTCAGTCGTGGCGTGGCTGCTTATTCGCCCGCCCACTACGCGGCCGCCTCGCAGCGACGTTCTGCACCACGCTCGTCCGACCGGCGACCTCCATCCTCCATCTCCCCGGATCTGAGCAGCGACGGCCGCCTTCCTCCCTCTCCATCCTCCATCTCTACTTGCAGGTGTCGCCCACAGCGTGTGGCTAGGCGGTCAGGAGAGGGGGCAGTCGTTGGTCGGGCCCAAGCTAGGCATAGGCGCAGCTGACTGCTACCAGGCCGGGCCACCATCCTCGGCCGCCGGAACCGGCTGTTCTCCGCTCTGCTTTGCGTCCTCTGGAAAAACATGTGAGAAACTCATGTTGCAAGCGTATGTTTTAAGTGTTTCAGACGTTTTATAGGTATGTTCAAGTGTTTCATATGGATGTTGTAAAAGTATATCGGGATGTACCATATGTTGCAATGGTTGTACACGGATGTTGTAAGCTTCTGCTCCCAATGTTTTATTTATTTTTTCAAATGTATGTTGCAAGTGTGTTTATCTGGATGTTGCATATGTTTCACATATATGTTACGGGTGTTTTATCTGAATGTTCGGTATGTTTACCATGGTTTCAAGTGTTTTTTCAGGGTTTTTTTTACAAGTGTTTCATACGCATACGTCGGTGTTGTATTTGAATGTTTCAAAAATAAAACGGGTGTTGCACATGTTACAATGAACGTGAGAAAGCGGAAGGGGGCGAGCGGTCCCCGTACGTGGTCTGGTGGCGCGGGCAGCGCCCAGGCGGCATAGACCCCGCGTGGGCGCGCGAAACACAGACGCGGGCAGGGGCGTGCTGGCGCGAGCGCGGTCATGGAGTGTCGGCGCGCGAAAAACGGATTGCAGCGTGGATGTAGACGTCCGGGCGCTAGTCTCTGTAAGCGTGATTAAAGTTAAAGAAATTTGATTTACAAACTTAAAAGGATCCACGTTTTAGAGCGGTAGTTCTGAGGGTGAAAGATAGTCTCGGTACTCTCATACAGGTCTGTGCAGTTGTCCTTCCAGGTTCAACTGAACCTTAGTTTATTGCATAGACCACCATATTATCATATATAAGCACGATAAAAGCAAACAGACTCCCAGAGCAGATAATATGCAGTGTGCTTTACAAGGCAGTTCATATCTATATCATGTTTGATGGTCATCCGTCCTTATTTCGATGGCTGTGATGGCTGCATTATACAGCGAGGTGTTATTTCTGAAAGTGACTGCACTGCCAACAAAAGCATATGCGTGTATTCAGAGCTTGCACGGCGAATCATCTGGATGGTGCGCCACGATGAGGTTGTACGCGTCGAGCGTGAGGAAGTCGTCCAGCTCTGGCGTGGTGCACTGCCGGCTGAAGATCCTGCCTGCCTCCGCATACCGCCCCTTTCGGAACCTCTCGTGGCCGACCTCCGCCTCGACCCTGGCCATCTCCTCCTCGACGACGCGTGCGAGCAGCTCGGGCGTCGCGCGCACCTCCACGCCGCCAGCGTCCAGCGCCGCGCCGTGGCGCAGCCACTGCCAGTTCTGGACGCGGCTGATCTCGGCGGTGGCCGCGTCCTCCATCAGGTTGTACAGAGGGACGGAGCCAGAGCCAGCCAGCCACGCCGCGAGGTACTGCACGCCCACGCGGACGTTGAGCCGCAGGCCGTCCACGGTGCGCGCGCCCCGCGGCGGCTGGATGAGGTCCTCCTCTCTGACGCTGGCGCCCTCGTGCTCCGCAGCGTCGCCGATCTGGTTCGGCCTCCCGCCGAGGTGGCCCTCGAAGACCTCCCGGATCGCCGGGATGAGCCCCGGGTGCGCCGCCCACGTGCCGTCGTGCCCCGCGCGCACCTCCCTCAGCTTGTCCTTGCGCACCAGCTCCAGCGCCGCCTCGTTCGCCGCCGCGTCGTCCTTGATCGGAATCTGAGCTGCCTGCGTGCGATTGAGTTCGTTCGTTGCACGGTTAGTCACGTGACGTCGACGGCGCGCATGCGTGGACGCCGCCGCCGGGGATATACGGTGAGCTTACCATGCCGCCCATGGCGTGGACGCCGCGGCGGTGGCAGGTGTGGATGAGGAGGTGGGAGTAGGAGCGCATGAAGTGCTGGGCCATGCCGACGAGGGCGCGGTCGGGGAGGAGGCGGTCCGGGTGGGCGCGGAACGTCTTGACGTAGCTGAAGATGTAGTCCCAGCGGCCGCAGTTGAGCCCCGCCGAGTGTTCGCGCAGCTCGTGCAGGATCTCGTTCATCTGGAAGACCGCCGGCAACGTCTCCACCAGCACCGTCGCCCGGATGCTCCCCGGCTCGATCCCAGCAGCTTTCTCGGCTCTCTGGAACACCCCGTTCCAAATCCTCGCTTCCCTGCAGCAGACGACAGACGACGAGCGAGCGTCCAGTGAGTCACGCACTGCTGCGCACATGTACGTGTGTGGTGCACCGTGCACGCACCACCGAGGCACGTGTTCATATGGGCCGGGCGTGCGGCACGTACTGCCACGCACGTACCTGGAGTGCTCCATCTTGGGCAGGTAAAAGAATGGGCCGAAGCCGGCACCCTGGCCGGCATGGAAGGCAGCGTGGTTGTGGAAGAAGTAGAGGCCGAAGTCGACGAGGCAGCCGATGGCCGGCTCGCCGTCGATGAGGATGTGTGCCTCGGGGAGGTGCCAGCCGCGGGGGCGGACGAAGAGCTTGGCGGTTCGGTCGTTGAGCTTGTACTCCCGCCCGCGCGCCGCGTCGCGGAAGCTGATAGTGCCAGCCACGGCGTCCCGCAGGTTGACCTGCCCGTGCATTAGGTTCTCCCACGTCGGCGACAGCGCGTCCTCAAAGTCAGCCTGCCACGTTTTTTTCTCAGCTCAGAACGGTCGACACATCACATGTGCTTCATCCAGCCATCCATTCACCCGTACGTACGCCAGCCAGAGCCAAGTTTGCCCGCGTGTGTATGCTTACCATGAAGACCTTGGCGCCGGAGTTGAGCGCGTTGATGACCATCTTCCGCGGCTCGGCGGGGCCCGTGATCTCCACGGTGCGGTCGGCCACGGCCGGCGGCACGGGCGCGCACGTCCAGTCCCCGTCGCGCACGAGCCTCGTGGCCGGGTCGAACCGCGGCAGCTCGCCGGCGTCGTACCGCCGCTGGACCTCCCGCCGCTGCTCCATGGCGTAGCGGACGGCGCCGCGGAACTCGCGCTGCAGGCCGGCCACGAAGGCCAGCGCGTCGCGGGTGAGGATGGACGCGAACTCCCGGTCGTACCGGCCCCGGACGTCCACGCCCTCCGGCGCGTCGTAGCATGGCGCCGGCGCCGCCGCGGTGCTCGCAGCCATCGAAAGCGTTCGGCGTGAGCAGACCAGAGCACTGGGTGGTGATGGGAGTGGGAATTGAGGTGCGTGCAGCTCGTGTCGAACTTGAAGTGTGCGCGTGTTTTTCTCTGGTCTCCAGGGAGAGCCGATATATATGGTGAGAGACTGAGAGCCCGCCCGGGACTGGAGGCGAGAGCGCAGGAGTGAATGTGTAGCGATCTTCTATTTTCGCATGGTGACAGCGGCAGCGTTCACTCCCATTCCGGCCCGGCGTCTGGCGGCCGGCGGCTCGTGCTAGTGACACCGTCCCCAGAGAGAAATCCCCACACGGAACAGCATGCTGACGTCATGCGTGACAGAGATCGTAGGTACGCCGAATTATTGATGACATAGATGAAGCAAGTGTCCAGTGAA